TGTCTGCTCCCCAAGCCAAAGGGTGAATATGAAAGTAAAAACTGTTGCTACAGATTAGAAAAAATATGATTATATAAAGGAAAAAAAGGCTGAGAATGAAGCCACCAATGAAATCCCTATGATCTCCACTTAAGTCCTGTCCGCACTGGGGTACAAACAATGAATCTTGACCTGGCTAAAATTCAGTTTTAAACTACTTTAGGACATCTGTTGATAAAGTTTTATGGCAAAACACAACATTTCTAATAATTTCTTGAAATGAACTGGGGACAACTTTTTGTTCCAGAAAGTGGGGGAAGTAACTAAGGGGGGCATCCATTTTAGACTTTGTTCTGATCAAAAGGGAGGAGTTGCTAGCAAATATGAAGGAGGAAGGCACATTGGTGAAAGCGATCATGAAATGACAGATTTCATGATTCTAAGGAAAGGAAGGAGGGAGAGCAGTAGAATAAGGACAACGGATTTCTAAAAAGCAGACTTTCACAAACTCAGAGGACTGGTAGGTAAGATCCCATGGGAAGAAAATCTAAGGGAAATTTAGTTCAGGAAAGCTGGCTGTTTCTCCAGGAGACAATATTAAAGACACAACTATAAACTATCCTGATGTGAAGGAAAGACAGGAAGAATAGTAAAAGGCCAATCTGTATCCACCGGGACCTCTTTAATGACCAGAAAATCAAAAAGGAATCCTACAAAAAGTGGAAACATGGATAAATTGCTAAGGAGGAGTACAATGACATAACCATGTAGGAACAAAATCAGAAAAGCTAAGGCACAAAATGAGTTACATAAAAGGTAAAGGGACATAACAGGCAAGAAGAGTTCTTTAAATACATGAGGAGCAAGAAAAAGACAAAGGAAAGCTATTGGTCCTCTGTTTAGCAAGGAAGGAGAGCTAATAACTGATGACAGCAAGAAAGCTGAGATTTTAATGCCTATTTTGCTTCAGTCGTAACTAAAAAGTTTAACGGTGACCGCATACTGAACACAATTATTATTAACAACAAGGGTGAAGGAATGCAAGCCAAAATAGGGGAGGAAAGCAGGTTAAAGACTATTCAGATAAGTTAGATGTATTCAAGTCAGCAGAGCTTGATGAAATTCATCCTAGAGAACTTAAGGAACTAGCTGACACAATCTCAAAAACACTAGCAGTTATCTTTGAGAACTCCTGAGGATGGGTGAGGTCCCTGAGGACTGGAGAAGGGTATATATAGTATCGATATTCAAAAAGGGGAACAGAGAGCACATGGGGAATTATGCACCAATCAGCCTAATTTCAATACCTGAAAAGATAATGGAACAAATTAAACAATCAGCTTCTCAGCACCAAGAAGCTAATAGAGTTATAAGTAAGGTTAAGATTTTGTCACGATTATTTTTTGTAAAAGTCATGGACAGGGCACGGGCAATAAACAAAAATTCACAGGAGCCCATGACCTGTCTGTGATTTTACTAAAAATAATTGGTGGGCAGGGCGGGGGAGGGAGGTGGAGGTGAATGACAGCTGGAGCTCCATGGCTGTAGACTGACAGCTCGAACCCCCCCGCCCTTGTGGGGGGCACAGCCCCTGCTCCAGCCATGGGGGGAGAGGGGTGTACAGCCCCAGCTCTGGCCACAGCTGAAGCTGCATGGAAAGGGTGCACAGCTCGGGCTCCAGCCCCGACTGCAGCCACGGGGCAGGGGCACATAGTCCCATCTCCAGGCGTGGCGGCAGCTGTGGGGGTGAGGGGAGGAGTACAGTGCACAGCCCCGGCTCTGGTCCTGGCTTCAGACCCTGACAGCTGAAGCCAAAGAAATCCCGGAGGTCCGTTAAAGTCACAGAATCCGTGACTGCCGTGACCTCCATGACTAAATCGTATCCTTAGTTATAAGCAACAATCTGCATGGACTTCTCAAGAACAAATCATGCCAAACCAACCTAATTCCCTTCTTTGCCTGACCTAGTGAGTTCGGGGAAAGCTATAGATGTGATATATCTTGATTTTAGTAAGGCTTTTGACAGAGTCCTACATGACGTTCTCATAAGCTAACTAGGTGAATGGTGTCTAGATGAAATTACTATAAGGTGGGTGCACAACTGCTTGAAAGACCATACTCAAAGTGTAATTATCAATGGTTTTCTGTCAGACTGGGAGGGCATATCCAGTGAGGTCCTGCAGGGATCATCTTGAGTCCAGAACTATTCAATATTTTCATTAATGACTTGGATAATGGAGTGGGGACTATGCAGATGACACCAAGCTGGGAGAATTTGCAAGCACTTTGGAGGACAGGATTGGCCTGGCCTTGACAAATTGGAGAATTGGTTTGAATTCAACAAAATCAAATTCAGTAAAGACAAGTGCAAAGTACTTCACGTAGGAAGGAAAAATCACATGCCCAACTAGAAGGGGAAATAACTGTCTAGTTATTATTATATTATTACTATATTATTATACTATATATTACTACATTATTATAGTTGTTATTATTCTAACTGGGTATATTAACAGGACGCAGGAGGTAATTGTCCCATACTTCTCGGCACTTATGAGGCCTCAGCACTGTGTCCAATTCTGGGTGCCACACTTTGGGAAAGATGTGGACAAACTGGTGGGAGTCCAGCAGAAAGCAACAAAAATGATAAAAGGTTTTAGAAAACCTGATCTTTGAGGAAAGGTTAAAAAAACTAGGCATGTTTAGTCTCAAGAAAAAAAAATGAAGGGGGACCTGATAGTCTTCAAATACGTTAAGTGTTTTTATAAAGAGAATGGTGATCAATTGTTCCCCATACCCCCTGAAGATAGGACAAGAAGCAATGGGCTTAATCTGCAGCAAGGGAGATTTAGGAAAAGCTTTCTGACTATAACGGTAGTTAAACTCTTGAATAGGTTTCCAAGGGAGGTTGTGGGAGCCCCATCTTTGAAAGTTTATAAAAACAACTTGAACAAACCCCTGTCAGGGATGGTCTGGGTTTACTTGGTTCTGCCACAGTTCGGGGGCTGGACTAGATGACTTGTTGACTCCTCTTTCAGACTTATATTTCTATGATTTTATGATTCTATAATAGCTCCATATATCATGAAGATATTTAACGTCAAGTGTTCATATTGTCATAGGTACTTAGAATAAGCTTTATTTTTACATGGCAGTAATAGACAATATTTGAAAAACTGAAGGTGCTATCAACTTGATACTTAGAAATATTTCTTATTCATTCTAATTTGTGTGCGTGTACGTGTGTGTGTTGGGTGTTTTTTGTTGTTGTTTTTTTTTGCTATGTTGTTTTGAAAACCAGTCTTGCATCTTGATTGGATTCAGAGGTGAAAGTAACTCCAAAGACTTCCTGGTACGGGGGCCAGCGCCTTGGGTGGAAGAGGTGGGGCTGGGGGGATCAGCATCCCCAAGCCAGCCCTTCCATGCCCCTGGCCCGAGGCTCCAGCAGCCTTTTAAATCACCAGCCCCGGGGCAACTGCCCCTTTTGTCACTCCCAACCCTCCCCCGTCGGCGGCCCTGCTGGTAGGGACTGTACCAGGGCCGCTGATGGCGGGGTGCAGCAATGTTAAAGCGCTGCCGCGGCAAAGGACCCTTCTTAAAGCTGCGGCAGCACTTTAACGTCGCTGTCCCTTTTGCCTCTGACATCTCTTTTTGCCCTTACGTCTCATATTTACTCTGGCTCTGTTGGTGGTGGTGTTGCTACAAGAAGCCAGACACTAGGGGCAGTTAACACTACTACTTTACACAAGTAGTCTCATTGATTTCCGTGTGTCTGTTTGCATGAATGAAGTTTGCAGAATTAGGGTTTAAGTCTCTATTTTAAAAAGAAAGCTTATGAAGAAACAGAGTAATTTTTTGAGTGGATGGGAGATTGGGGGGGGGGAGATAATTAAACAATAGACAATGTATAGTCCTGATCCTGCAATATACTTTGTGGTGGAATTGCAGAATTAGGGCCCATATTTGTAGTTTTCAGCAAGGCTGCAATAATTGCAGAGATCAGCATTTATAATTATTCTCAGCTCTTTGCAATAAAAATGGAATGTTGCTATGCAGAGGGAAAGACTTTAAAAAGTGAAATCAGTTCACACATCTCTGATTTCTTTTGTGGATTTTCAAAAATACACAAACAAAACGTGAGCTTGCCCTGTTTGTTTTCTAGTAAATAACACTGTCTGAGTTAATCAAGGAGTGATATGCAACAAGTCAATTCAATGACTTTAATCTTTTCTTTTTACTAAGTGAAAATACTGCATATTATTGTATTATCAAGACCTACTTAAAATAAAAAGCTCTAATTTTTATATAATCACTTACTTCTGTAAACAGATCACACAGTGAGGAATCTATTAAGACCCCACTGTAAAATATATACATAGAGGTAGCATCCTGGTTTGAGAGAGATAATGGAACACCCACCTCTTTCTTTATCTTCCTAATGATTTCACTTAGGATGATTCAGAAATGGACACCATGTACAGGTCATCAGCAGGGGCCTGACTGTAAGCAGTTGGGAGACTAAAATTCTCTGCAGGACTTGTCCTAAATAGGTAGTATACAGTTTATGAAGTTTACCACTTATGGCAGCAATATTTTCCTTTTGAGCTCAAGCCTATTTCCCAATGCAAATGCTTTTATTCAGTCTCATTATAGGATTCAATTAGAATTTGAAATAGCATGCAAGCTAGCCATGACTATCAAGACTTGTGTTTAGTAATGTGTTTTTGCACTGTGTACTCTTTACAAGGCTATTTGAACAATGATTAATACCGTCATTTGAATCCATAAAAGAATCATCACATCTCTTTCATCATACAGTGATGATAATTCTTCATTTGTTTAAAAGAAAAAAGTCTACTGCTATTCTAGTGTTCCCCTTATGTTTCATTTTCATATGTTGGCTCTTGATTTTTTGGTAAAATCTGAATCCACTAACATGTCATTCGGTGTCCAGGATTCTGTATTTGTATTACTTTATTGGTCATATTATTCTAAATCATTTCCTCTTTTTGTTTCCATAGGAAATGATCTATTTTTAGTTGCAGTGCATGAACTGGGGCATGCTCTAGGCTTGGAGCATTCCAATGACCCCACCGCAATCATGGCTCCGTTTTACCAGTATATGGAAACAGACAACTTCAAACTACCTAGTGATGATTTACAGGGCATTCAGAAGATATATGGTATGTCATTTTTTTTATTACACATATTAAATAGTTTGCTTAAGAACATATTTGAGGATATATATATATATATATATATATATATGCTCTGTCAGCTGTAGTCCCAGAGGCCTTGATTTCTTGCTGTGAGAAAGCCATGGATTTTGATGAAGCTCTCTTATTTAGTCCCACACTATTTACAACTTGCATCTAAATCTGCACTCAACTGGAATGGTAATCTTAAATATTTAAACTGCTAGTAAAGAATATCTATAAAGGGATCCCAAACTATTAAAATATTAAGAAATGCAGGCCTTAACCATAACCGGCTCATTTCCAAAGTTCTCAATATATCAGTTATAAAACTGTGCAGTTCCCTGGGTAAAGCAGTTTTGTGGTCCCAGCACCTCCCCTCTTCCCCCCATTCTTATTGCAATAAATATAGCAAATTGATTTCAAAAGCTTGATATTAACAACCCAAGGTTTTGCACAATATAGCGGGGGGAGGGGGTGTCCTGTTCTTTAAAATGTATATAATATTTGGTTATTGTGGCCTAAAATGAAAGAAACAACCACTGTAAATAATTTCTCATGTTATTCTATTCAGTCAAAGAAAGCAAAATAATTGGAAAGAAAAAAAGCAATTTACTCATTGCAGGTTTAAGGTAACTCTGACTTCCACAGGACTGTCTCTGACATTTCCACAGGCAACTTTTTTAATACATAAGTTTTAAAAAGCTTGACATACACAGTTAACCATTAAAGAATCTGCTTTTGCTAAATTAATGGAGCATTTACATTCTTACAATGAAAAATCTGTTCTATCTGTATGTTAATGCCAAGTGACTGGTAGATATCATTTGCATTTGCAAACGATGTCATTTAAGTTCACTAATTTGTTTTGCATTCATTAGTTTTCCAATTTAAATGTCTAAGTGGTAAGTGTTCTCTCAGGGTTAAACTGACTTTTAACAAGGTCACATTTCTTGCTGATCTTTTGCTGTTAGGAAAGCCGGATGAGTTCGTACAGAATAATGGTGCACCTCTGATTAGATACCAAATACATCTATGCTAAATATTATATTATTAAGTGATGTTGTACTCTGGATGTTCCAGAAAGAAGACAAAGTGATTGTCTAGTTAAAATTTATTGTATGTGGTTAACCGAAAGGAGGTTGTTTCTCATGAACTCATAAGTTGGTAGTCTAGACAAGGACATTTTGCCCATATACTAAATAATAAACTCTAACAGCTGTATGCTAATGAACTTTATTACTCCTGGGAAGTGATGCCTGACATCACTACCAAATTGCATGTGGAAACTTTGGTTTGGATTTAGAATCATTCAGATATTAGCTACTGCAAATTAATTCCTTTGCTGCCTGTGCTAAAATCAAAAGGTGATTTGGACTGAATGTCTGAAAAAAATCTTACCCAATGAAAGTAACTGTGTTGATCTACACTATTCATCACAGCCTAATTAACTGTAAATTATGAATGCCATGCTCCTTAAAATTATGAAGGAAATAAATGTCTTATTAAATTTCACTGATGGTAGTTCGGGTTGCCTTAAATATTCAATCAGTAAACATTTATCCTAGTTAATTTACTTTCTTTGATCAAGTACTAGACATTCAGATTTCATTTATGTTAGATTTAGTTTTGTCTCAGGTTGCAAAGATGCTCCTTAACCTACTATCATACAGATGAATTAAAGCAGACTGTTTTGTCACGTACAAATAGACACTGCAGTTAAACTGATCTAGATAGATAGCTACATACAATGGGCAGACTTTAAAAGTTTGTCCTACTTCCACAGGTCCTTCAGAGATGTCCTATATTTAAAATGGAAAATATCACTAGACTCAATAATATCTCTAGAACTGGAATGAAGTTTCTTAGCCTGCCCATTACACATAAGGGTTTTTAACAGCATGAATCTAGAATGACCATATTACTTACAAATAGCAAAACTATGAATGGACTAATCAGATCATCCTAAATGAGTGCCATTAAAACCTTTATATTGCACCACATCATGATTTATTCAGTATATGTCAAATAGTTTACAGCACAGATATTTTAGAAATGTTACACAGAGGGTTTTCATTATTATTATTTTGCACTATTTTTAAGTTTGGACAACCTTTTCAATCCATCCGCCTGTAAAATCTAATGTCAGCGTTGCCATGAGTCCAACTGTACAGGTTTCATAGGGGAAAATATTAACAATGGATTTCAAACATTTCTTAAAAAAAAATCTAAATATGTTTTCTGTATACATAAGTGCCTAAACTTTAAAGCCCAGTCTCAAGTCCTTCCATGGCTAGAAAGGTGCTTTGTGCCACGCTGGGAGCTGGGAAAATATCCTTTCCTGTGACCTTCTCTTTGTATCCCTGATGGTTCAAACCTATCACTAGTGCAGAACTCAGTTTTACCAGACTGCCCACTTAGGCCAGTATAGTTGGAGGGGTAGGGAGAGAAATTCCACCTCTGCGGTTAAGAAGGAAATATTTTGGAGTCTGGTTGATTTATAAAACAAAGAGGCAGCTACAGAAGCATCTCAGAAGCATAGAATATTAGAAGTAGTTCAAGAAAAGACAGATTAGTGGGAAGACAGCAGGTTAATGGGTCAAAGGTGCATAATAAATGCAATGTATCACATGCCTGTGTCATTTATCACATCACCACCACATGTGCTGTCTGTGTGGACGGGTGGATGGATGTAGTTATTAGAATATTCAAAAACATGGGTTGATGGTGGAATTATTACATGCTGTTAGGACAAATTTCCCACATTTTATATAACCAATGAAAGTTTTGTTCTCACCAAAGCAGTTCCATAAGCTGTTGTTCAAGCACAAATTGTTTACCACGTGTAATCTTAAATTTTGGTGGATTTTGTGGTCTGTAAGCTTGTTGGGGAATAAAGGAGGAAGGTATCAGAATTCCAGCAGTCATTTTTTTCTTCATAAGTACCTTGACTTTATGGATCCAAAGCACACGTTGTTATACTCTATCTTCACAGATCAGAATTTGGAAAGAGCATGTTACGCCAACTAAGCCATTCCTCTGCCAATGCAGGAGTATTCTTTGGGGTATATTTTTGTAGAGCTGTCTGCAGTGCGATCTACAGTGATCTAAATTTAATGTCCTGCTGCTAACATTTTTAAGGTCCACCTGACAAGATCCCACCACCAACAAGACCTCTGCCAACAGTGCCCCCGCATCGTTCTGTCCCTCCAGCAGACCCTCGGAAGAATGACAGGCAGCCTAAACCACCTCGGCCGCCCACTGCTGACAAACCTTCCTATCCTGGAGCCAAACCAAACATCTGTGATGGGAACTTCAACACCCTAGCTATTCTTCGCAGGGAAATGTTTGTTTTCAAGGTAGGACGCTGCGAATTTTTTAGTGTTACATCAAGTGTCTACATTTCTACTTTTTTCAGGAAACAAGCTTTCATTTATCGTGACTCCACTTTCCCAGCCCTCTCACAGTTAGAAAGTTCAAGAAAAGAAACTAAAGAATAAACATACAAATGGCTTAAATGTCTAGCAGAGCATTGCTGTAATGTTCTATTTTTGGAATACATTCATGTCAGCAGAAGCTATAATGCCTCAAAATTTAAGGGTAAGTAAATGCAGCATCTTATGCAGAGATTAAAAAAACAGCATAATTCAAGGCATGAATAGAAGCTGATAGGAATGATTTTGTTGGGAACTTAGCCACTTCCAGGCACATTGCAATTATTGTGTCTTCAGCACACATTTCTTTCAAGGACCCTGTAATTTAACTTTATAATTAGATCAATCATTTATAAGGGATGTTTGTCATTGTGTAATGGTTGCTTTGATACATGTTTGAGTAAAGGTCTTTGCTATAAGAACTTCCTTGCAGATGTTTTATTGTTTATTTCAATTAATCATTTTGTCTGGAGCTGCATATATATGATGCATCTCACACCAACTGGACTAGCCTTTTGATGGAGAGGCTTCACTAATGGTTCAAAGACAACAAATCTAAGCAAAGCCATTTGTTAGAAGAATGATCTAGCAGAGCACCTTGTATAATTTCCAAATTGTATTGCAGGCTACAGAAATAACAGAATCATTATTCAATCTTTTAAGTAAATTAATTTGCTGACAGTTATTGTTGTGCAAATTACCTATTGCTTATTGCTGGCAATGTTAATGTAATATATTATCTTGGAATCCACAGTGATGTCCCAAATTTGGCTGAACAATGGACTAGGTGGGATTTTTGTTGTGTAAATATATGTCACAATTCTTTTTGATTTCAAAATTATACCTAGTGAGAACAGGTGTTTTCCTCCATGAAGTTTTTCTTCCAAGTCCTAGGGGGAAACATTAGCAACAGGATTAATTTGTCCTATCAGATTGACCTTCTGGTCCATAAATCCAATATTTTGCCATAGCCTTTGTCTGCTTTTCTTCTGTACTCTGTCTTTGCAGAGATTGATAGAATACTCGACACATTTTCCCCTTATGTACCCTCTCCAAAGAACCTTTTATCAGTAATCAACAGACCTTGAATTGCTTTAAGACTTCTTTAAAAATAATTTACTTTTTTGCTGATTATTTTATGTTAATTAATTCAAATTATTGGGTTCTCTTCACAAGCAAAGGGCAAGAGATGAATTATTTTTCCATAAAAGACTGAGGAGTTTGTCAGTCCTTCTGAAAAAGGGAAATAACCTATCATTTGAATATTTGGCTTCTCTTCAAACTTTGTGTGCCTTTCTTTTGGAAGTGCTGTACCATCAATCTTTGTGAATAAAACAAAAAGGTTAAGGAAGAATCTAATTTTCTGAAATACATTAAACAGGATATTAAAATACCTACTTCATCTCATATCATCCATCTCAAGAACAACAGAACATACTCTCATTTATTGTAGACATAAGTCAATAAATACTGACATGATCTACCACTAATACAAAATTGCCTGTCTACCTAAGCCTGTACTTTCAGACAAATAGATTCAACGTAATTCCTAACTAATTTTTTTCCTTTATATGTGAAAATAAAAGTTGTAGCAGTTAAGAGAAAATCATTTTAATTCGGTTTCACTTACTATCTTAAAATCTTTTATTTACCATACATTATGAACAACAAATCTGGTTTTATGTTTCAGTAATAAGCAGATTTCCATTCACGCAGAGTACATAGGTTCATATTTGGGGCCTGACTTTCCACAATGTATATGCAATTCCAGGACTTTTTACCAGCACAATGACACATGTAATATGCATAATTGTGCTTGCAAATTGCCAGTTAATTATCCAAATAAAAAAAAATATTTATTTTTTATTTAAATTTATAGTTGTGCTTGCAAATTGCCAGTTAATTATCCAGTTGGTCACTGGCAAACTAAAATACTCATTTTTTTTATGTACTCTCAGAATTGCTTATACAAATTGGATACACTTCGGAAAATTTGGCCTTGATTGTTAGAAAGTGAAAAATAGAACTGAGATGTAAAAGGAAACAGTCTGAGATTCACGGTGTATTTTCATAGGAAACTACAAGCAATATTAATTTCAAGGAAACAGATTTTTTGTACAGTTCAGCTACTAGGATGTACTCAAGGGCATCAGAGTTTTTTGTTCAAGTTCATGATCTTTGTTTGCAGTTTTTAAGACCATCTTAGAAACATCCATTTCTAGTTGGATATTTCCAGAGTGAAAGTTAATAAAGCTATTTTTAAGAGAAAAGTACAATTTAAAGATTTTTTCTCATCCCTTTTAAATGAGTTTTCTCATTACTTTTACAATATAACTATTCTGCCAATTAACCATATTTGATAGATTTGTACAGTTTTTAAAAGATGATTTCAAATAAGAGGAAGAGCTGCCCCTGCTCTGACTCAAACTATAAATACCAGAGCACAGCAGCTCACTTGTTTAAGACTTCCCACAGATCAGCAAGTGTACTTAATTTTGTGGGTGAACCTTTTGAGCAACAGTGTTTAGATTTCTAGGGAGAGCAAATTACCATTCTTCAAATACACTGCAATTAGAGCCACATAAGTGTATTGTTCCAAAAGGACATCTCCTCAAAACACTGGGGAATCCCCTTGCCCTTAGAATACCCCTGCCAATTGGGGAGAAGTTTGCTATTGAGAAAAAAGGAAAATCATGTTTTAGCTAAAGGAAGTATAGGAATAACATTTATAGTTGGCTTGAAATTTGCAGGAGATCAGACTAGATGATCATGATGGTCTCGTCTGACGTTAAAGTCTATGAGTCTATAGATGAAATTTTCAATAAGGTTAAGGACAAAGTCGATTTCTAACTTGTGGGGGTTGCTTAATCATGCTTGAAGAGCTACAAACAACAAATGGGATAGCAGAATTTTTGAGCACCAACAGTTTTTATCCAGAAGCTCCTGTTAGCCCCCACAATTATGCTGACTAGGATGAGTGTTTAGCTTTCACTCTTACTTTCATGTTTTCTTTCAGCTAATTTCCCCTCCCTATTTAGTTATGCCTCCCACAGGGATGTAGCAAATGGCTGAAAAACAAAAGAAAACAAACTGGTACTTCTCTCATGGGGAAGCTATGCAACTTGTCATGCCATTGTCCCTCTGCCTTTAATGCAGAATCTCTCTGTCACTGTGTATAGCACTCTGTATCTATATTTCAATCTCATCTGCTCCTCAGTCTCAGCAGAAAGAATCTTCTGACAGTCAGTACATCTGGGGCTATCTGCTTCATTGAAAGGAACTTCATTTTCTCAAATCATTTGGCAAGATCCATTATGCAGGTGGTTATTTTATAAATTTCCTTCACTTCCCCTGTTCTATATCATTCATTCTGCTTTTTCAGTCTTCTGAAGCAGAGAGGCAGAGTTTAAAGCTAGTCCAGTATTTCTGATCTGTGGGATCAATGATGATCAATCACTTCAGACAAACTATTTCATAGTTAAAAAATGTTTAATGGCTATACCATTTCATTGCTTCCCAAAGGTTCCAGATGGAGCCATCCCAGTCATTTTTTCTAACTATTACTCAGGGGAATTTCACGTCTTTTGATTTATTCGACACCATGGTTATTCCTTACCAACAAGAGTGCCTACCAGCTCTGCCTCCATCATCCTCATCCTCATTGTCAGTACCGTGCTTGTTGGCCTCTTCTCAGTTGCATGAGTTTTCACAAAATCCCTGGCCTTTGTAGCAGCTCCATCTGGAAATTATCTTCTGAAATTTTGATGCGGTGGATGGTAGAAGGTGGATTTTAGGCAGGACTAAATGGGCTGTGTTTTATGAGCTTATAATACCTCCTTCACAACTTGTAGAAATATGTTGTGTGACTCTTCACATCCTGAGAAACATTGAAAAAAAAAAGTATTTATAAAGTACAAACAATATTATGCTTGGTTTTCTGGCAATTAAGTGGTAACTGTCATTACCCCTTGACATTAGTCTAGACCGCAGCTGTATTCACATAAAACTATATGGATGTAATTAAAATTCCATTTCAGAATTATGTATTTACATAGAGTACCCTATTAAACACAAATAAATAAAAAGAAAATCTGTCTTCCAATCTGTGGTAAACAAGTGAGGAATTCTGAAAGAAATTTGCCATGAATTATAGGCTTTGGTATTTTTTGGTAGTAGCAGGAAAGAAAAGAGTATAGGGGTGAGGAAACGAATATTAAACAGAAGAGACAAAGAAACAACAGCAATATGAGAGTGGACCTGACTGTATGTGAGAGTGGATATTTTTACAAAGGTCTCCAGGGTTGCCTGTGTAACCGTGTTGTGTCACGTGGCATTGTGAATGTCTGGACTGTCAATGGCAGCCTGAGAAGGTTCAGCAGAGCACACTTTGGGTTCCAGAAGGGAAAAACACTGAATATTTCAGCCATGAAAAAGTGAGAGCAAGAGGTCAGGATTAGTTAAAGCTGTAGACAGCAGACTCCTGTACCCTACTTTTCATTTTATTATATTGGAAAGAACACTCTGGTGGGATTCATCATTCCTTAGCTCAGTAGTGAAGAGGACAGCTGTAATTCAAGTTACCCCAGCTTCAATGACATTGAGGAAGTGAAGGGCAAAACAAAACTCAGCAGGGACCTTAGCCTTCAGTACATCTAAAGTAGGCAACCATTGGAAATTAAGAGACAAGGGATGTGCCAGAAATATTGGCATCAGAATAAATGGTAAGGGATCCAGGAAACAGAAGAATAGGGTGGGACTGCATTGGAATAATGATAGACAGTAATTAATAGTAATAATACTTATCACTTAAATAGGTTTTTTTTTTATTTGAAGGTCTCACACCACTACCAGTATTACTCAAGCCTTTCAACACACATGTGAGACAGATAAGGGATTAAGTGATCACCCTGCCCAGAAACAAAGCT